CGGGCTGGGGATTCGAACCCACCACCTTAGGTGTATGTGGCTGGCGCCTTAGCCGGTTGAGCTATAGGCGCCGAGCCCATGTTCTGCCTCTTTAAGGGCATAGTGAGAATCTCTATCTATAGCAGGTTTTGTGACACCAGTTTCTTGAACTACATGAAATTTAATAATGTGAAACTTGGCTTGGTGCCTGTAGCACAGTGGTTACAGTGCCAGCCACATACACTGAGGGTGGCAGGTTCGATCTCGGCCTGAGTCAGCTAAACAACAATGACAACTGCGACAAAAAACAACCAGGTGTTGCTTGGCACATGTAGCTCAGTGAGTAGGGTGCCAGTCACATACACTGAGGCTGGTGGGTTTGAGCCCAGCCCGGGTCTGCTAAACAGCAACAACTGCAACCAAAAAATAGCTGGGCGTTGTGGTGGGCACCTGTAGCCCCAGCTGCTTGGGAGACTGAGGCAAGAGAATCACTTAAGCCTAAGAATTTGAGGTTGCTGTCAACTGTCAACGCCATGGCACTCTACTGAGGGTGACCTAGTGAGACTCTGTCTCAAAAGAAAAAATAGCTGGGCATTGTGGCAGGCTCCTATAGTCCCAGCTACTTGGGAGTCTGAGGCAAGAGAATTGCTTAAGCCCAAGCACTGGAGGTTGCTGTGAGCTGTGACGCTATGGCACTCTACTGAGGGCGACATAGTGAGATTCTGTCTCTAAAATAATAGTAATAATAATGATAATAATAATGTGAAACTTTCTTCTATCTCCTTAGCTCCGTCATTTAACATTCGCTGGATGTGGTGGCTTATGCCTGTAAACCTAGCACTCTGGGAGCCTCAGGCAGGTGGATTGCTTGAGTTTGGGAGTTTGAGGTTGCTGTGAGCTATGACGGCCATAGCACTCTACCGAGGATGACAAAGTAAGACTCTGTCTCAACAAAATAAAATACTTCATTCATCACATGTTTTTTCTGACTGTGTGGCTGGCTTCCATGATCATCATCTTGTATGCTTGATTTATTTTCATATCGAATTCCTAGCATCTGAGGTATGGCTAATAAGAAGATGTGTCTCTTGGTCTTGAGTGTGACATCTCTTCCTCCTGCCCTGTCCTCCCTGTCCTCCCTGTCCAAGGAGGTGGAGGTCATTTTGGAGTCATGTCATCACTTTTTGATTAGGCTGCTTTCACTGGATGAAATTGCTTCAATGGAGAGTTACATACAGATAAATGGTTCTAAAAAGCATCTTTAGGGTCTTTATCACTCCTCAGGTCTCTTTCCTTCTGAGCTTTCCTCTATAGGGTTGAGGTCTTTAACCCATCTCCAGTTAAGGCCAGGTGATACAGTGGCTCCAGGCCCTAGGCTTCTTTCTCATGCTCAGTGCAGGGGTGGGATTAAGCTGTTTGGGCAGAATGGAAGGACCCTTTAGGATCCAGAGCACTTGGGTTGTTGTCTTTCTTTAGGAGCAGCTGGGTACAGTGACACAGGCACCCAGGGACTCAGCAGGCTCATAAGCAGCTTGCTGGTCTCAGGACAGAATTATGTTCTAAAACATGGCAGGGTGTGGCCAGCAGGAGGCAGATTCCCACTGTGCAATTCTGCGTCTAGAGCCTTCTCACTCCCAGAGGTGCCTGTGATACCAGTGGGAATCTCCAATCTTGAACTTGGAGTTGGGTCCACAGGCCATTGGTCAGCAGTTTGTTCAGGGGCACTGAAAGTCGGAGGGCCCAGGGAGCTGGATTCTGCTGCTGGGAAGCTGGGTGGCCTTGTTTCTGGGTGTTGGATTCAGTATTGAATAAGTGCCACAGCACTGTGGGCTTGGGGTGCTCTCTGAGCATACCTTACCCCTTTTTTGTACCAAGAGGGTACAAAAGCAAAGACTACACTAGTTGGCAAATTAAAATCAACTATTCAGTTTCTCTTTTTTCTTTGGGGGGAAATGGGAGAGAACATAAAGCCAGTGTAAGAGAGCTGGAAGCCTGGGAAGCCAAAGGGAAAACACACTTCCTGTCTGTGGTTAGTCTTATCTTCTCTTCCAGAGACATGACAAAATAAAGCTTAGCCCTCAGCTAAGCCCCACAAGGCTCTTGTGAAACGTAGGATCCCACAGATACACCCTTACACACCCTAACACATCCCTTCCACCTCTAAGGTCACAGAAGCTGCAAGTAGCCGGGGGGGGGGTCCTGGCCTCTTTATTTTAGCAAGTGTTTTTCCCTTTGAAGAGACATAGTGTGCTGGTAACTGACTTCCTGTGAGCACCTCAGTTTGGGAGAAGGGGGTGGGAGAAGGGAGTGGTGCGTACCTCAGGAAAGGGGAGTGGGGGCCCTCAGAAGAGTTAACAAGTCAGTCTCTCCCTGACCAGCTAGCTGGCTTGGGGGAGGGAGGATATAACCAGCTGATGTTTTCCCACAATTAGCACCCAGAAAACTATCCCCTAGAGGGAAAATTTAAGAGCATTTTACAGTCCCACGTTTTGTTGCTGATGGGCTCTTTAACATGGGTTTCATCAGAGGCACTGCTACAAAGGGATTGTTGTTAGTCCCCTGAGACATTGGCATTTTCTCTAGAGCTGCTGATTTATGACTTCAACCTGAACTTGAAGTGGCAGGCCTCCAGGCCCACCACCCAGCCTGCTCCCCACCTCCTCTTTGCCCACCTGATTGGCAGGGGGCAGTGGCTCAGAGAGATGGGTTGCTAAGCAGCCTGGCCTGGATGCTGTGCCCTTCCAGGTTGAATGAATAGCTCCAGTGTTCAGAAATGGGGATTTTGGGCTGTCACCGAATCAGGAGGGACTTTTTGGGGAAGGGGACTAAGGCACTATTAGTCTAGCCTTGGCATGGAGCCGTGGCATGGGGGGGAACTGGGTAGAGTTCCTTGAACCTTCCTTTCTGAGAGGTGGCTTGGGGTAGCATTTCTGTGTGTAAGTGAGGCTCATGGAGCTCTGCATAGACCTTCATGTGAAGGTCTTTTTTCATAGTTCTTACTGTTGTAGCTCCTTCCTTGCTGACCAGAAGAAAAGGAAATGAGATCCAGTAACTTTCTGTGAACTCGGATCTGCCGTTTTGATTATTAGTATGTTGTGGCACTTGAGATAACTGACCTAGCTGGGCTTGAAGGGCCAGAAACAGGGAAAACAGACAAGTTCTCACCATGTTATGCTTGGAACAACAGTGGCAAGGGAAGGCTTGTGACATGGGGCTTGGCCCATCACCTTCTCATGTTAATTTGGTTTAGATGAAGCTTTTACTCTGGAGCCGTGAAATCCAGAATGTTGCTGATAAGAAGCCTTTGCTCTCAGGTTTCTGCAGAGCATGTGGACATGGCTGTCGCAGGGCAGAAAGCATTCCTTGGAGAGGACATAAAGCCTGTGTAAAGAGAGGCAGAGGGAGGCTGCCCCAAGTCTGGAGTTTCCTGAGCCTTGTTCAGTCAGTTATCACCCATCCTATAGTACTTGGCTCTGGGGTTTTGTGAGCAAGCAGTGCCTTTATCTTCATGATAAAGTCTCTGTTTTCTGTTCAAGCTAAAGAAAAGTCTCTTGGGGGCAGCTAATGTGTGTTTTTGTCTCAGGAGTCCGATGTTACAAAGCAATCATCTCTTGCTTCCACAGTCCCAGCAGGAGAGGCGGTGTGCTTAGGGGCAGCTGGCCCTAGTCTTGACCTCCATGCTGTGTTCAGCTTCTTGAGACCTAGGGGAGAGCAGTGGGCAGGTACAGGTCATCCAGATGGTATTTGCTTTCCTTGGTGTTAATAGTGGTTGGCACTCCTAGAAGCAGGAAGGAAAAACTGGGGTTGGAGGAGCTTTGAGGGACCAGAAGTCACCCCCACAGCATTGGCACTTCATTAGTGTTCCCAATAGTGCTTTTACTTTTTCTCCTTCCTTAAAAATCCTGAGTGGTCTCCATAAAGAGAATAACAATGGCCCAGGAGCCCTAGCCTTACCTCCTTGCCTTTCTGCTTTTCTCTTGCAGGAGAATACAGAAGTCGAAAAGCGAGACCCCCAGGAATTAGTTGGTAAGTACTCAAGGGAGCTTTGCCTGTGGGGCTGACCTGCCACCCCCCAGGGCTTCTCTCTGCTGTGAGCATTCTCCTCCTGGTCCCTTCATGCTCCCTCTCAGAGGCCTTTGGCATTTCCTAGGATGCCTGGGTGAGATGCCTGGGGAACAATTCTTCTTTGAAAATTGTATTCATGGTGTGTTTTATTGGGCTTTGGTCAGCTGCCAATGTTGTTGAGAGAGAACTCGGGCCCATTCATCTGAGAGCGCATCTTGGTCTTTGCTCCAGGCTGCCTCTGTCTTTGTGCCCCTCCTCCCCTCTCTGCTGGCATGTTCATGTTGCTCAGGGAGTTGGCATGTGGCTTCTGCTGGCACTTTGCTCTGTCCCCAGGCAGGACCATACCCCAGAGCCTGGAGTCTGGGGCGCTTTGTGAGAGGAGCAGGGACATTGTATTTCTGGAAAACACACATCATCTAAGTCCTCTGCTAATCTTTTTAGAAAGCCCCTCAGCTTTTTAGTTTGGCCATGGACTTAGTAACAGTTCCCAAAGCCCAATCCAAGGGAAGTTCCTGGCGTCTAAACCCAGACCTCACAGTGGGTTGACCTGCTTTTTTCCTTTTTTTTTTTGAGACAAAGACTCACTTAGTCCCCATCAGTAGACTGCCGTGGCGCCATAGCTCACAGCAACCTCAAACTCTTGGGCTCAAGCAATTCTCTTGCCTCAGCCTCCTGAGTAGGTGGGACTACAGGCGCCTGCCACAATGCCCAGCTGTTTTTAGAGATGGGGTCTCACTCTTGCTTAGGCTGGTCTCGAACCCATAGCTCAGGCAATCCACCCACCTCGGTCTTCCAGAGTGTTGGGCTTACAGGCGTGAGCCCCCAGGCCCGACCTGGGGTTGACCCTCTTTTCTCTGTGGTGGCCATTACCAGCTCTCTCTGCCTTCTCTAACCCCCAAAAGTCACTACTTCTTGGGGCTATGCCCTGCATTCTTGGTGCCCTCACCCCAGCTCAGGGCCCTGGAAATGCTATTTCAGTAATCAGTCCGTCTCACTTGTCCTTTCTCTAATTCGGACCTTTTTGCTGGGAGTGAGAGGGAAGTAGAGAGCCTATCCTGTTTTTTGCTAACTAAAAGAGCTAGAAATAGTTCATTACCTTTGTCTTTTGAGGAAAGGTTGGATAGGAACGTGCTGATTGAGCAACCCAGGTCCTCAGCAGGAGTGTGCCATGGTCCCCGGATTCTCTAATCAGCAGAGTTTGAGTATTTCAGTTCCCATAAAAGCTAGATTTTTCCTGAAATCTAATGTTTGTTCTTTAGAGAATGGCCCTGTAGGGGGCACACACCTGATGGGAAGCCCATGGCCTGTCCTGGGGGTTTACAGAGCCAGGTGTGGTTGGAAGCCTGGACCTCTTCTCCCATCCCTCACCCCAGCCGGCCCTGTTGTGCACTGCTGAGGGACTTTGAGAGGCTAGCGGTCAGAGCAAACAGGGCAGCCTGTCCATAAGCCCTGACTCTCATTAGTGGTGTGGGCAGGTGGTGGAATGTGTGTGGGCATTGGCTATCTCAGTCCCTAACCTCTTCCACAGCTGGTTTGTCACTTTGTTTCTCTGTCCCACTTTTTACAAATAGCTTTATCAAGGTGTAATTTACATAGAATAAGGTTTGCCAGTTTTAAGTGTGCCATTTGATGAATTTTGACAATTGCATTAGCCCTCACTGCACTCATGATAAGGATCACTCCTGTCACCCCCAAATGTGTCCTTGTCCACTCCTTTGTAAACAGTTTCCTCCTTTGGTCTCAAGCATGCAGCAGCCTTCTCTCTTCACTAGAGTTTTGCCTATTTTAGAATTTCATATAAATCAGGATCTCAACCTCAGCACTGTTAGCACTTTGGGCTGGTTAAACCTTAGTTGTGGAGGCCTGTCCTATGCATTATAGGATGTCTAACAGCATCTGGGCCTCCACCCAGAGGCACCCTCTCCCTCCACCCACATGACAATGAAAAACATCTCCAGACATTACCAAATGTCCCCTTGGTGGGGCACAGTCACCCCCAGATGAGATACAGATGGAATCATAGGGTTTTTGCTTTGCTTCTTCTGCTTAGCAAAATGCTTTTAAGATTTGTCTGTGTTATTTTCTCTTTCTTGCTAGGTAATATTTCATGGGGTGGGATACTCCACAGTTTGTTTATTCACTCACCCATGGAGGACCCCAATGGAGTTTTGAATACTCATTGTTTCTTACTGAATAGTAACTATTTTTCTCCTCTTTTTTTTTTTTCTTTTTCTTCTTCTTTTTTTGCGGGCTGGGATCGGCAGAGTCCCACTCTGTTGCCCAGGCTAGAGTGCTACCTGGCAGCCATAGATACTGTGGACGTTTTGGACGTGGGCACACGTTGGGGTGACTCATAATGACAGCACCCTCCATGAGTCCTAAGGGTGACCGCCCTTCTAGAATGCACCCCAGAAGACCCAGGCAGCAGCCACAGGCACAAGCACTGCTTCCAGAGAATTTGTGGACATTTTGCTTGATACATCAAAACATTTTCCTAGGAAAATGGTTTGAAGCTCTGGCCACTCACGTCAGGAAAGTGGGGCTAGTGTCTTCTATTTCTGATTCATTCTAGTACTTAGGAAAGAGAATCACTGAAAGATTGTGCCTGAAATCTAGGAAAATGGTTTGAAGCTCTGGCCGCTCACGTCAGGAAAGTGGGGCTAGTGTCTTCTACTTCTGATTCATTCTAGTACTTAGGAAAGAGAGAATCACTGAAAGATTGTGCCTGAAATCTGCCTAATATACTTTGATCTTGCTTTCCTGAATGCATCCCTTTATTTGTCAGTTACTTCCCAGGAACATTCTTATTTCTGGCCTGGGACTCAGAATGGGCTCCCCATCCTGCTGTAATACTGTATACCATTTGAGCCCCAGAGTGTGGTTGGGTTGCTGTGGCAACAGGGTCACACCCTGTTTTTCCAAAAGGTCTTCCTGGCAAATACCAAAGGGCTCTCTTTGTCTCTGTTGCTCTCACGCGTAAGCTCTCCAGCCCAGAGAAGAACTTACCCCACTTGTTTTTGCCCAGCTCCTGCCAGGCCTGTTTGCCATTGTTGCTGGTTCTCATAAGATATGAGTACCAGCTCTCCACAGCTGATTCCACTCTCCACAGGCCTCGGCAACCTTCTTGAGCCTCAGGCTGACAACTTTTTCCTATCTCAGGGCTGGGAGGAAGGAGGAAGTCAGGATGGGACTTGAACTCCAGCCAGATCTGGGTGTGACCCTTGCTTGAGGAGTCAGGAGAGACTACAGAAAGGTGGTGGGCAAAGAGAAGCCCTTCATCCCGTGGTGGAGACTGTTCCTGGGCTGCACTGGCATCTCAGGTTCCACAGTAGGACCTCTGATCTATATGTTACCCAGTCTCCATCCTCTTTCCCTCACCCAAAATGGCGGGTCTCGGACATGTCCATTGAGAAACCACTGATGACAGTGAAAATCAGCACATGCAGGCTCGGCGCCTATAGCACCGTGGTTATGGGCCCAGCCACATACACTGAGGGTGGCAGGTTCAAACCTGGCCTGGGCCAGCTAAACAACTGCAGCAACAAAAAAGAAAATAGCAGGGCATTGTGGCGGGTACCTGTAGTCCCAGCTACTTGGGAGGCTGAGGTAAGAGAATCGCTTAAGCCCAAGAGTTTAAAGTTGCTGTGAGCTGTGAGAGCAACATAGTGAAACTCTGTCTCAAAAATAAAAAATAAGGCTCGGC